CTTTTAAAGAACGATTGTTAAATGGAAATTATACATTACTTTGCAAAATTTATGGTGATTTATGCTAGTGGTCGCAGCAAGTAGGTGTAAAGCAAAGCCATTCATGCAGTTAATGACCTGAATACTTCAAGTCCAGTGCAAAAACGCATGATCGCACGGGCCCGCCCGGTGCGTTTCAGCCTGGGTTGCCAACTATTTTTCTCAATGCATCTAGTTTTGCATTTCAGTGCTAAATGCAACAATTCAGATATACTCTTAGCAGTCAAAATTCAGAACCGATTTCCGCACTTTTTTTTTGCTTTCCATGAGCAACAATTGCACAAGGAATGAAAGAAGGAATATAGTCAATTCTGTTCCTATTAGACGGGCTTTCCTCATTCTAAGCGTATTTCCTTGATCAAAAGTTGAAGTCAAAACCCTCTCCACGCTTCTCTCTCTGTGAGAAGCGGAGGCACGCGGAAAGTAGCCCGAGCAGTGGCAAATGCCAGCAGCAACCACCTCCTGGCAAGGCTGTGGGTGGTGCCCACTCCTGAGGGTTACTTACAAGCAAGCTGGTGGCTGGTCTGACTACCTAGCATATATTAGGGCCAATTTTCCATCGAAACGAATAACTTGCTGCCCCAACGGCAAATCGAACCTTCGACAACAATGCTACCTCACTGCGCCATGCTTGCCTGCATTTTCTTTGTATATCTTGTTTTCATGCAAAAACTGTAATCTTACCACGTTGACTGTTAGCATCGACATTCTGCACAATGTGTTTTTTCCACGGATCATGACTAAGACTGTTACTTTTCATCAGCGGAGCTGGACCGCTCGGTAGCATTTCACTGGCAACCTGAACAATGGCACATTTTTTTTAAAATGGTGAAAAACCACTCTACGATTTGCGTTTCCATAAGACAACTCCTGTTCTATCATTCCCAAAAAGTTGAGAACTTCAGTTAGTTCTGGCGTTTGCAGAACTTTTTGTAAATGTTTATAGTTATTGCTTCTAATCGTTGTGGCAAAAATGGTTATTCGAGCCATTTTCATGCATTTTTGTGTCGCCATGAAATGCAAAAACAAATCAGCAAGAAGTTTTCTTTGTGTGTATGTCTGGAATTTGTTTTGTCACAAACTCAGCAACCAAGGGAACTAGAAAGCTGGGCAAATAGATGACGATAATCTTGGTTTACACATAATTCCTTCACCGAATGAAAGATCTTGCACAATTCGGACCCTGTCAAAAAGACTGCATGAGTTGTCATTTTGAAACACTCGATTTTAAAAAAGTGCGGCTACTTGCCAACTGACAGCTCTTATCTACAGCTGTTACCGTCATCTTCACCAAACGTAACATACTCGACTTTTTAAGTTCTTTAAAATGGCAGCACATTTATGAATAACGTCTAAAAAAGACAAATTACCACGAAAATTCCACCTGCAAGTTAAAGTTTTCATAAATTTTGAGCCTCGGGATTTTTAAGTGAGCTCGAATCTAAAAATGGGTAATAATTACAGCATTTACTACCTTATTAAGCGAAACAAGCGAAGCAGCGTTTCCTGGTGGTTTTGAAGCGCCAATTTTTCGCAAAAATTGACCTAATCGATTGCTAGCCGATTTACTGGCAGATGGTGGCGGTAAACGATAGTTTTGGCTGCCAACTGACACACTGTCCAGTTCACTACCACGTGAAAAACGTTTTTCATCAACCTGGAAAACAGGATACGTAGTTTGATTTAATACGAAGTTCTGGCATTTGGTAAAAAAATCGCAACAACAGCACAGCAAACGACATTTCTGACAAAAAAAGAGCACATTTATGGGCTTTAGGAAAGACAAAAATAGCTAACGCTTTCGTCGGTTGCAGTGGTGCTTTTAACCAAACAATACGTTTTAACAAAGTGGTACTCCCGCCAAATTTTGTTGTTATTTGCTCAAAAAAAAAAA